AGATTGACCAGTTTTTTTAAGTCTTTAAAAATTGTGTACTGTATCGAGCTTTGGCAAAATACCATAAAAGTAACAAAACGCATCCAATATATGAATAATCTTCCACATCAACACAAAGTTTATTGAAAGTGTCTACATTCCACAACTGAGTTATCTAAAAATTAGTTTTCTTCATTCGTCCTAACAAACGTGGAGCTGAGCACACGTCAGATTCTGACACGCCTCCGTTTAAATATATAAACACATGAATCGTGTGTCGTTGTCCTCTGCACAATTACAGTGATGTGTAGATGCAGGACAGTTCAGTCTGGTACAGGTGTTTACTGTAGATCAGTAAATTACACAGTGATTATATTTTGTACTCCACTTGATCTGAAAAAGGCAGCTGTGACCGACTACAATTACTTCTTTTATTTTTATTGTTTCCTAATACAAAAGGTTGGACATTTAAATAAATTAATTTTGATGGTATGTCTATAATTTATTTTATACTAAATTAAACAATAAAAACAACATGACCACATATTTTTTCTACGAATTGTAAAAAATGAATAATAAAGAAACGATGTTTCCCAACAGAACGCTGCTGGTTTGTGTTTGATTGTTCACCGCTGGGCTGTGGCATTAAGTGCGTCTGCAGCTTGAGAAAAACCAGTCATTAAAATCCAATCAATAAATGAAAAGCTTGAGCAAGGGCACACAGGATCATTTTAATTACTGCTTCTGTCTCCTATCATTTTCTGATATAACAGCTTAGTACTCATTAAGTTGAGTACTTAATTACAATTTGTGGTTACTAATTATAAACCCACCATTTCCATTTCCCCCTCCCCCACCCTTTATGATAACTAAGAGAGGAAACACTTTATGAGTTCTGAATATTTTTCACACTTGGATTTCAGGAAACATGACCATGTTTGAAAAGTGAAGAAACAGGTAGTTTGTGGTTTTAGACCCTTTTAGTTTTCAAGTAGGTTTCTGTCTAAGAGCTAAAAAATAACCACAGACTGCCTTTCTTTTCCATGTGAAACTAAGGGCTGAAGGACTGCTGAAATTACTTGAAGCTCAAACTGAGTTGTTAAAGGTAAATGAAGCAGAATAAATGCTAAATACAAAAGTATATGCTAGCTAAATTAATTAAAATGTTAGCTAAATGTTGGCAGGGATTTAACAATAATAAAAATGTGTCTGGATTAAGCAAAACGTTAGCCAAAAGCTAAAGGAACAAATATTATACATAAATGTAGCTCAATTCTGGGTACAAGAATCTGAACATTGGTTAAAAGGAGCAAAGTAGCTAAAAGTCAAATGTATATATTAGCTAAAAGCAGCAAAAGGTTGGTTAAAATCTAAAGTAGTAGCTAAAAGGAGCAAAGGACTAGCTGAAAGAATCAGAATATTAGCTAAAAGTTAGAAAGAGGAAAACTGTAGCTAAAAGCTAGCACAGTGCAAAAACACTTGCTGAAATCCCAAGGTTTATAGTAGCTAAACGCGTCAAAAAAAAGAGCAAAACCTTAACCAAATGTAGCAAAATGCCAGCTAGAAGAATCAGAGCAGCAGCTAAAAGGAGAAAAGTGTTGATTTAGCATTTACAGTATAAATGTTGAGCTTTAAATGACCTCAGTTTGCAAAATAGTTTACGTTAAACAAAACTAATGAGCTAACAGCTAGCCTGCTAGTCCAGCAGCAAACACCAAAATAGACTGGTGCCATGCTAAAACAGCTCTGCAAAACTGAATTACATTTAACTCCAACATGAACCTTTACAATCAGCTTTACATCACGCCATTATTTACATGGCATTGCAAAAACATTAAAATGGAAATAATCTACACAAAAATAACTAGAGTATTGAATTAAATTGACAGTTTTTGTGTTAAAACATGGTATTGTTGTAGCTGGGAGTCATTTACATCACACTGATTAAACACGACTCACTGCAGCAGATTTCTGCTTCAAACTTTAGCACTAACTTCTTGAGTCGGTTCGCAAAACATCACATGAACCATTAATTCAAGATGGCCGCCTCAGCTAATCAACGTGTAAGATGATCTAAGTTTAGGTGTTGGGTAATACGCATTCTGAAAACTGCATCACAATGGTTGAACTGTGCATTTAATGTGACGACTGAGCAGTGTGGAGTTTGACTCGTCTCGTTTGTGTTTCCACAGGGGGTCAACACGGATCAGGGGATGGGCGAGATTTTTCGTAAAATGGGCGTAGGTGACGGCGAGGGCGTCTCCTTCAAACAGTTCTGGACCCTCATCCAGTCAGTAGCCACCTCGCAATTCAGCGCCTTGAGCAGCCAATCAGGATCCTCCTGCAGCTGCATGCTGCTGTGAGGTGCAGCGTCCGCGCTCACCTGCGAGCCTCCAGCTTCCACTCCAAAACTTTATTTTCTACAACATGTATGTCACTCATGTAATCAGACATTAAAGTACAGACGTTCCACGTTTATCAAGACTTTTGTAATGAAAAGTTTTAAATTCATCTCATCTTTATGTTCCTGTTATCATATCTCTGTCACTAAAGCAACACTTTAATCACATTTGTAAGAATATAAGACTGGAAACTTGTCTTTTTTTTCCATGAATTTTACCTGAAGAAGCTCAAAAAGAGCTGAATGCCTCCACGGCTCCACCTGGAGTCAGGAACATGTTCCTGTACTCGTGTCTTCATGTCTTCTTTCAGGATGTTATTGATATAAATGTAGTTTAATAGTTTCTTTCTATTTGTTTTTGTTTTTTGTTTTTTTTACAGACAAACATGCATGAATACTAACTTCCTTTACATTATTATTCACAAATCATGTATTATCCAACCAGACAAAGAAAATTACAGAATGTTTAAAACAATAATCTGAAACATTTAATCTTCGTATCAAATGTTCCTTCATTCAGATTATCTCCGGCTGGATTCAGATTTGAAACTCTTTGCTGTTTAATCATCAAATTGGAATAAATTATTTCAATAAACTGTTGATTTTACCATGAGTCATGCAGTTATTTCTGCTAATTCTTCATTCTTGGCCCCACATCCACACCCAGACAGATGCAAAGCTTTCAGGACTGACTTTTTAATTTGAGGTGAAGGATTCTCCAGATTAACAAAGTGCAGTGGGACAACTGTTAGGAGACGTAAAGAAATTAAAAATTCGAAACGGAGGTCAGAACTGCGATGGATGGATGTCTCCTCAGTTTTCTGTGGTTCATCTGTCTGCTCCAAGCTGTTGGTTGATTTTCTAATTTTGGTTTCATGTATGGGTTTTTGGACACAGCAGATTTAGCTGTATATGTCGTCATAAAATAAGCTCATGAAACCCAGAGGTTTGTTTTAACGATCTAAAACCAGCTGAATGTTTCCAACAGGGCTGAAGATTTTACACCCCAACCAGACTCACTGCTAACGGAAAGATCTGATAATTAACATGATAAATACACTGACAAACTTGCTCCACACCCTGTCTGTAAATTAAAAATATTAATTTAAAGTGTTTTTAATATCTAATAAAACAAAGCTGAACATTAGTAAACCAGGGGATGAAGCAGAGTTAACTGTCGTTTGGTTTTAAAGGTTTTTCTCTGATTTCTTCAGTCACGGCTGTAATTGAAATGATTTAAACTCCAGCATGATGTGTGGCTCTTTGATTTGTTTTAACTTCTGTCTAAATGTTATCTCTCCCTGTTTGTAACAAAATAAGAGTTTGTATTATTTCAGTTTTTAGTTAATTTTAGTTTAATATGTTTATATTTGTGTTTTCTTAATTGATCAAAGTAGCCAACAGTCGTTTTAAAATGAACAAAAAGTTTTACTGGACCAATAGAAAGTGTGTTGCTACATGTGAAGTAAATGGATGTAGAGTAGTTTTTCAGGACATGGTGGAACCATGAAGGATAAGCTCAGCATGGAGCACGCCTGTAATCCAAGCTGCTGGGAGGCTGAGGCTGGCGGAGCGTTTCAGTTCAGGAGCTCTGAGCTGCAGTGGACTATCACTAAGTTCGGTATCGATATGGTGCTCCTGAGGGAGTTCGGGACCACCGGGTCGTCTAAGGAGGGGTGCACCGGTCCAGGTCGGAAACGGAAACAAAAACTCAGTGAATAGACACTGTAGTGCAGCCTGAGGAATACAGCGGGACCCAGTCTTTTATTTACACTTGAATTAACTGCAGTCAGTGGATTTACTCTGAATCAGAACTACTTTTTGTTTTACAGCTGTTCTGTCGCTGCTTTTATTCTGATTTTCTATTAAAAACCTGAGTTTTGCTCTTGGTTCCTGTGGGTGGTCCCCTGACCAAGGTGGCTGCCGGGTTCCGGGGGGGTGGATGGCTGGTGGGGTGCACTTGGTCGTTGACGGTGTGGTGGGGTTGTTATGGGTGTGGCTTCTCTGCGGCGGGGGGCTGGCCGGGCGTCCTGGTGCGCCCCGGGCCGGGCCTTGGCTGTCTGCTCCTCTCCACCTCAGAATGATTGGGTCTACCTCCTGGGTTCGGGTGTGTGCGGCCTCCATTAGGGGGTGGGTGCATGTCCTGGACCTGGGGGGTATAGAGTGTGTATCTGGGGTATGAGTGGAATGTGGCGTCCTTGTATGTCTTTGACTGAGTGGGGGTGAGGATGAGGGTGGGATGGTGCGATTGTGTATGTTTGGGTATTTGTCAGGCTGCAGTCTGGGCTGCCCCTACTGCTGGTTTATCTGGGGGCCCGCTGCTAGGAAAAAGTATTGAACACGCTTACTGAAATTTATCTAATACTTTGTACTAAAGCCTTTGTTGTCAATGACAGCTTCAAGACGC